ACTCCAAAGTCGATGGTGGGTGGTGAGGTTGCTGATGGTGATTTTACCGATTCAAATGTTGAATCAGCAATTTCGTACGAAATTTGTCTTCGATCGAACTGGAATTTCGGCTTCGTATTATTCGTTTCCATTGTTGGATGGTCGCGCCGTTTACGAATAGTACTGCGTGGAGGGTTGTTATTATTGTTGTTGGTTATACGGTTGGTTTCTGTCACTTTTTCGAATAAACTCTCAAAACTACTTAAAAAGTGATGTGTAGCAGAACAAGAGTCGCTTTCATGGTGTAGCGGTTATCACGTTTCCTTTACACGGAAAAGGTCTCCGGTTCGATCCCGGATGAGAGCTGAAATATTTAACTCATTTTAATAAAAAAAGTTAGGAAAATATATTTTTTTTGTTGTATTTTTTATTAATAAACTGATGTCATAGCCATAAATAGCAGTAACTCTATTTTCCTTTTTTATCCATTTGTGATACTTCTTTTGTAAACGTATTTTATTTTTATATTGCCACGTAGTTAATCCATATCACTGTCACATCATCATAATAATAATTCGAACACATAGTCAACCTTCAGTTACGAACACGTATATTATCATTATTAGTTTATCATATATCTTATAAGTAGTTTAGAGAATATATAAATACTCCTTCACATTTCATATAATAAAACATCATCTTTCAACTTATACTTTATTTATTTATTATCTTTTGTTCTATTCTATTTCTAATTGGCTACGGTGTTATCCGCCAAAATATATTACGACACTGTCATAATTATTGATCGGTTATTTTTAATACCGATTATGCTTTCTTACTGTGGCTCTCTTCTTATTCATTATCATCCGCAGTAACATTATTATTAATATTATTCACTATTATCATTATCATTATCATTATCATCTGCAGTATTACTATTACTATTATTAATTATTTATTTATTATTATCAACATCATCCGCAGTAACAATATCATTATTATTTATTATTATTATTATCTTCCGCAGTAGTTTAGAAAACATATAAATATAGGATTATTTTATTAAATAAAAAGACATCTTTTATCTACCCTACATTTTATCTATTACCTTTGTGGTCTTTTCCTGTGTGGTTATAATTACCTGTGTGGTTATATTAGTCTTCGTGGTTACATTATCCGTCATATTTATATTCTCTCTTTGTGGTTCTCTCTCCGTGGTTTTATCAATAAAAAAAATACGACAAAACCCACTGTCGTAGTCAAAAATAACAGCTATATTCATTTTCCTTTTTGGATTATTTTGTGTTACTTCTTTACAAAGACATTTGATTTTTATGATGCCACGTAGTTATATCCATACCACCGTCACTTTACCATATTATCCATTTGAACACGTATACATTACATAGTCACGAACACGTATTCAATCTACAATCATTCCACGTATATTATTATTATTAGTCTTACATATATTTATCATTATTCATAATAGTTAGGAAAACATATAAATAGCTGTTCATAATTAAAACAATAAACATTATCTTTCAACTTATATTTTATTCTTTAATTATCATTTGTTCTATTCTATTTTCTATTGGCTATGGTATTGATCTGCCAAAAATATTACAACACCACAAAGAGATAATATAAATACGAAGAATAATATAACCACACAGGAGAATACTACAAAGGTAAAGAATAGAATATAGGGTAGATAAAAGATATCCTTTTATTTAATAAAATAAGCCACTATTTATATATTTTCTAAAACTACTGCAGATGTATACAATAATAGCGTTCTTCACGGATCGGATCAGATCGGATGATAGGGCTATCCACATCTGCATCTGCAAATAAGTATTTTGGATATGGATGTGGATGCGGATGTTTGGACGCAGATATGGATGCGGATGTTCAGATGCAGATGTTCAGATGCAGATGCAGATGTGGATCGGATGGGTAGATGAAGTGTGTATGTATATTTTTTTTTGGCAGAAATACAGTCAAAGTAGGAAGAACTGTCATATTGTAGTGAATCAAAGAAAAAAGTGAAATAATCTATAATAAGTTTTGATTTGGAATGTAACAAAAGGTTAGGGTTCTTAGTAGACCGATCTGGATCGGATTGGCACCATTTCGAATCTGATCCGTTTTGAAACGGATCAGATTTTCAGAAATCTAGATTGTCCACGGATTAGAGAATTGCAATCCGAATCCGTTTTGTGAAAATCCGGATTGAATCCGTAATCCGTAATGCAAAAGAATCACTTAGATGAAAATTTAGACTATATAGTAGATGTCACAGTATTTTTTCATGAGAGAAGGTATTTTACAAGATTGTGTATAGTAGTCGTTTGAGATCGTTTAAGAAAAGTAAAACATTGGTAACAGAGGTGCATTGTTTTTAGATGATTTTATTATTTTGGTTTGAAAAACATAATAAGAAATAAATAAGTTATAATAAAAAGAGATTATTTATCTGGTTAAGCAGTGAGTCCCGCACTCAAGTCCCCACTGTATCGGGGACTTGGAAATAATATTTTTCATCACCCGCAAACTAGACTGACGAAATTAATGCTGTGAGTTTATTTACAAAAACCGTGTACCTGCCTTTTTAATTCTTGTCACTTTTTTTTCATTTTTTTTAAAAAAAACACTTTTACATTTACTTTACTGAAATAATCATGGGTGGTTCTGGAAGCGGTCGAAGACAAACCAATGGCACTCCTACACAGAATCGGGAAAGAAACAGAGATATTAGACTGAATGAGTTGTCTCTTAATAATTCTGCTGTAGCAGATATGGAAAATGACGAAGACGCAGCTTATAGAGATGCTAGGGATCGCACTGCCCTTGAGACATTTAGCGCAGCTCGACAAAGTCGTCCTCAAAACACCATCAATCAATACTTGAATCGTCAACAAGAATTCAAAAGATGGTGTATCAAGAAAAATGTTAATGCTATCCCTGATGATGGAAAGCTTCACTTTTTCTTGAAAACAGAGGTTGGTTTTATTGCTCATTAGTGTGTTTCGACAAATAAATGTAATTTTGTTACTTAAAAATCTTATATAAGGTTGCTTTCCGTCCCCACCGAAAGAGAGGAAAAAAAAGAAGTGCACCAGAAGATTCGCATGAGGATGATGCCAATCAGCATTCAAATGAACATGGGTCTAATGGTGTCAACAATGCTGACCATGCCGACGATGAGGTCAACGACCTTCCTCAAATCGACACAGCATATCAAGTAATGGATATGATGGACGAAATGGATGAAGAGAGAGATGGTTCTAGCTCTAACACTAGCACTACCACTCCCACCAATGATTCATCATCATCCACAATCAACAGCACAAGCATTGAATCTGCCATTACTCGACAATTCAATGAATATGCTCAACTCGCTTCTGGGGTACCTGGCAAACGGGTCAGATACTCAACCGTTGAAGCATATGCTGCTGCAATTGTTGATCTTTGGGCCGAGCAATGTTTGACGGATAATTCTTTTCGTCCAAGTCCTCGTGGAAAACGAGTGAAAGCATTACTTGACTGGTTGCGTAGAGAAGACGAAAAAATCGCTCGCGCAAACTTTGATGATAGAGTATGTTTAAGACAACTTATTAAGCAACTTCTTGCTATATGTGTAATGTATAAATAATCTAACAAATACATTTATTTTTTAAGGGTGCATTTACCGCTGCAGATGGCTATACCACTCATGCTGAAATGGAGAAAATTGTTGATCAATTTTGGACAAATGGAACTGAACTTGGTCTTCGAGATGGTACATCATTTTTATTGCAGCACTACGGTTTGCTTCGCGGTGAAAGTATTCGAAAAATGGAGTTTGCTGATTTGCAATCGCTTCATTTGGAGGATGAAGGTCCAAGCCAATGTCATGCTTTGGTAATGGTCCTTAAACAAAGAAAAACTAACAAGTTTGGGCGCGTTGAAGTTGCTGGATGTATGCGAAACAAGAACGTGGCCATTTGTCCTCAAATGATGCTTGCTTGTTACCTTTTCAGTCGTTATGAGATGTCTGGAGAGCAATTTCCTAGCATCAATAAGAACGCGGATTGGTTTTTCTACAAGCTCATCAAAGGAACGACGGAGGATCCTCAAAAGGAGTTGTCATACCGTCAGCACCTTAAGGCAATCACAAAAGCATTTGAAGGAGCTTGTCTCCATTCAAAAGCCAAAACTCATGCTATGCGTGGTGCCGCAGCTCGAATGGCAGAGATTGGAGGATCAAGCGAGGGCGCCATTCGTCGTGCAGGCCGTTGGAACACAAGTTCATTGACAACAGCCTACCTCACTAACCTTCCCCACGAACTTCTTCGCACCCTTGCAGGTTTTCCAACAGAGCGTGGATATTTTTATCTCTCTCGTGCCAATGTTCAACCGTCTCAAGAGCTTTGTAAGAAAATTTTCAAGTTCGTTGACTATTGGCGTCAGAAATTAGATGAAGGTAATGTTGAATAAGTATCATGTGCCGCCAATATGTTTTTGAAGCTATTGGATAGACTACGTGTTGTCTTTTTGCAGGACTCGGTTCTTTTGAAAAAGAGATATCCTCAGCATTTTCTTTGGAACCATCCTTTGTTTCAAAGTGAGCTGTATAAAGATTTTGAAAGGTAAATATATTGTTTTTATAAAGATGTGATTCAACTTTTTTCTAACATACTTTTGTTAGATCTGTTGATGCTGCTGTGGAAATCACTGAAGAACCTGAGCAACTGCAACTGCAAAGAGCAGTACCATTGGTTGCACAACATCTTTCTGATATCAATCAGCAAATCGCATCGCATTTTGATGCTCAAGCCCAAGCCCAGCAAGCCCAACAAGCTGCACAGATGCAGGTTCTCCAATCCCTGTTGTCTGTTGTTACTCCCTTGCAAGTGCTTGTTCCTCACATCAGCAGCCTTGCAACATTAGCACAGCAAGTCGCTGGCTATACTTCTGGGCAGGTTCCTTTGACAGTAACCTTGAACTTGGGCAATGTTTCTCAACAACAACCCACTCAAGAACAAACACCTCAACCCACACAACCCACACAACCTTCTCCGCAACCTTCCCAGCAACCACAAGAACTACCGCAACCATCACTTACAACAACATCCATCTCTCTCCCTTTTTTTCCACCACCACCACCACCAGTACAGAATTCAGCACCAGCACCAACATCAGATCAATTGCCTGTACCCACTTATAAAATGTCTCGTAACACTGTTACGCTTGATATGCTTTGGCGTGAATGGTACCACGGCTTGGCTGGTGGTCCTTCTATTAAAGAATTAGAACGCTTGTACCATGTTGCATGGCGTCGAGAAACAAAAGAACATAGATTTTATAATCGCAGACGTATC